CAGCCATACAGCCAAACATAGCTACCCTCCCAGTGGTGAACTTCTAAAGAAAATGACGAGGTATCTATACCAAAATAAAAGAATACCAGCAGATTTGGATATAGATTTGATATCCAAGACAAATGTTTATCCAAAAAGGTGAGTTTCATTATATCGTTACATTAATTAATTAATTAATTAATTGATTATTAATTAATCCTTACGGCAAAACTTGACAAGAGATTTGAAACTTACTCATATATGAAATATAAACTCATATTATACAATGGATTATATAGGCTGTGTCCTATTGAAGACGAATGCAAGTTTTGCTCAAGTGCTTTGACTGATGCCATTAGGTACACCTCTAATGGAAAGCTTTTAACTACTGGTACAGAACGTCTCATAGAGGGTAGGCAGTAATTATGTTATTGTGTTTCAACATACATATTAATAAAACTTATCACTAATGCATAAACTATCAATTCAATCAGGGTTGTCTATTCTATGGTCTTTTATGCATGACCTTTAAACCCTGATATTAGCATCCAGTGATAAAAAATAGGTGTTTCATTGATATTGTCAAAGTTAATATTCCTGTTGCTACATAACTGACAGTACTGCAGTTTTCAACTCAACATCACAGACTATTATTAGGTTCTATTTGCTGCAAGAAAGTCAGTGTCTTCTATGTGGAATATCAAAGTGACAAAGACAAAAATTGAGATGATCAGATTGTCACAATCTGATACTGATCATAACTGGAAATTTGTTATTAACATCTCAACTCAGGAAAACCTTGCCTGTTGCTTGCCATTTTAGATGCCCGTAAAGTTATCGTGCTTATATTTTATYAATTACATATTATTTGTATTTGACAATACATTTTTTATTGCTCTAGGTGTAGAAGTGTACATCAAAATTTGTCRTAAGTGTTCACTGCCTTACCGCTACCAGGAGTATTCAGATGGAATACATAATTATAATGATTATTGGGTTTTTAGTCTTGGTGTCTTGGATCTTCTCAGACAGTTATTCAAGGTATATTTATGTAATTATTGCCAATATTATGAAAYACTTTTTGTCTGATTATGATTATAGTTTTATAATTATAGTATGCTTGGACATAATATCAATTTAAAGTAAATCCACTGCATGAACAATGACTACTGTAAGTATAATTATTGATTGTACATCTTCATCTCAAACATTTTCTGTAGGTGCACACAGCTACAAGCCGTGTTACTGAGGCTCTTGAARGTTGGCTGAGACTTGAAAAGGGTACTTTACCACAGAGTATAATTAGAAATGCATATTTGCATTTCGAAGCTCTAAGCAACCACATCTATGACTTCACATGTGTGTTATGTGGCCACCATCCACCTGCTCTTGTACTTGATGCTAATAAGAAAGGAGCTTTTGATTTGTCAGGTATAGATACTGGTTATAACATAATATAGACTTGTCAAATATGAAACCACCAAATCCTTGCAGTCACTTGGTTGGCAGCTGATGTGGAGGATGTTGAGTAGCAACAAGCTGTATGACTTTATTAGCATTATTTGTCTTAAAATTAATATAATCATGACATGA